CCCGTTGAATCCACTAATTCATATATTTACTCCACAAGTGTTTTCATTCCATGAACTGCCAAAGAACAAACAAATCCGTCTTATCAGATGGACACCCAGAATGCTCCTTGGTCTCAGGTACTCTCGGGATGAAACGTCTCTGGTGAAGGACCGGTCAACAACGTAAAACCAGCTCGGTGACTCTACCAAGCACTCGCTCACATGAGCAAGACAGGGAAGGAAAGCACCTCTACAGGTTCCTGGCCTCGGGCGCTCGGGGGTCCTCTCCCCCGGAAACCCCATGCATCTCTCTTTTAAAGACAGGTTATTCAGCCTTGATGTAGGAACATCTCTCCACCCCACTCTCCTCTGCCAGGACTCCTTCTTTTCCCTTTTTGTCCCTCCCCGCAGCACGCACGCACGCACGCATGCACCTCCAAAGTGTCACAGACTCAAAAGGCAGGCAGCAACAGTTCCCGGCACCGTAACGCAGGACTTTCCAATTTAGCACTAAACGGAAACCATTAAACCAGCCCCCACCCCTCCCCAAATCTAACACTGAGTAACAGTCCACTCACAAAAGTGTCTTATTCTCTTTGGGGATCTGCGCTCATCTAGAAAACTTCCCACGACCACGGCCCTGTGGCTCTGTGATTAAAGGCAACGACATGCACGTGATGCAGAAAGCACTCCATGTCTGGTAGCAGATCAGCGAGTGTGATGGGTTGAAAGTTCCCCATCTACTCCTGCACCCAGGCTGTGCTCCGGCAGCTCTCACCCTCCTCGCCCACCGGCTCCTTGCTTCCCTCCCACTCCCTGCAGGTTCTTCACCAGCCTGTGGCCCAGGGGATACTGGTGAGACGAGTCAGATCACACCGCTCCCCGCCTGGACACCTCCGTGCCAAGTCTCACTGGAGCAAGAGGCAGGGTGGCCCCCAGGCCTTGCCCACTGGACCCACCACCTGGCGCCTGGCTAACCCCACGCTGGCCTCCCCGGGGGTCCCTCCCTGGCACACTCCGACCTCAGAGCTGCTGTGGTCATGCCTGTAGGGTCAGGACTTCCCGCAAGGGTGGGGAACAGCATGCACTCCCGCCCTCTCCCCTTCCCGCTCGGGGCTGAGGGCTCTGTCACAGGGAGGACTCCCTGGAGCACTCTCTCTAAGGAGGCCAATTCTGGAATCTCCTTCCCTGCTTCATTATTCACTGTCACCTTCCCACATGCTTTATGAGGAGCCCTGGTGGCACAGTGGTTTAAGGACTCAACTGTTGACCTAAAGGTCAGTGGTTCCAACCTACCAGCCGCTCCCTGGAGATGCTTCAGTACAGGTTCACGGCCTGGGCACCCGTGGGACCCTCTGCTCTGACCCACAGGGCTGTTAGGAGTGGAGTCGATCCAAAGACAGGAAGGTGAACCTTCTGGTCACTGCTGTGCATCCAGCCCCAGGCCGGCCCCTGACAGGGATGTCCCTGGTGATGGGTAAATACCTTCCCTGAAAGATGTAGCTACAATAAACGAACCCCTTTGCCAAAGACTTATAAGCTATACAAGGGAAGTCACAGGTCTGGTGTATCTGGTGCTAAACTTAGGATGCAGCACAGGATTCCGTTTTTTTCCAACCGCCCCTCTAGATAAAATCTTAGTTTTCGTCGTTAGCATCTTTGCAGCAGCTGTGCCCATGGATGGAAACGTGAGCCCCGGTCGCCATAGAAGACAGGGAGATCTCACCTCAATTTGCAGGCTGTCATGTCCCACTGTGAAGTCAAGTCTGGAAGGAGCGACGTCAAAGGTAATCCTCTCCCCTCGATAGAACGGAACCTGGAGGGAAAATCTGTTCATTACCACGGGCCAACAGCATGATTCACCCATCAATAGTAGCCATCGATCCAGCTGCCCACAAATGACAAAGGTCCACGGCAGGCCAGAGACAATGCAGCCTAACTGCCGCCCATTTCCAAGGAAATGTGTCATGACTAAGGGGTCAGCCTCATCCTAACCCCTGCCTTCTAGTCGATGCCGATGCAGAGCGGCCCTATCCCACCCCCGAGGCTGTAAACCTTCTCAGAAACACTGGCCACATCATTCTCCCACGACATGGGTTAGAATCGGTACCTTCAGGTCCCCGCCTCAGTACTGCAGCCACTGTGCTGACAGCTCTTCAGAAGAATCCTCACCGAACCGCAGCCCAACCCTTCACGGTTCCTTCAACACTCCAGAGCCTAAGAGCCCCGGCTACAAGCAGAACGGAAGTCTGCCCCACTCACCACGGTGTAGTCCCCACTCGGCAGGGAATAGAAGGAGAAGGAGCCATCTTCCTGGGAGACCACGTAGCACAGATAGACCAGGCTCTCGTCTTGGGGCTGGAAGCCAGGCACAGGCGAGACGCTGCAGCCAAGCACATCCTAGGCCAAGAAGAACAACAACTGCCTCTTCCGCCCTATGCTCTGATCACCACCCAGCAGCTCCACCAAAGGAAAGCGTCCAAGTTTTAGTGGAACACAAAACATACATATATTTTGAAACGTGGGACATATGAATGCACATAAAAGGAACACGAATCTTTACACTCAAGTATTAAAGTTAAGAACAAAAGCATCAAAACATAAAGCTCTTCTTGTCCTTCCTTTGGTACACGTCTACGAACAGGTCCACGTACAGGGACAGGCAATAGATCAATGGTTTCTTGGGGAGAAGGGAAGAGATGCTAATGGCAATGGATGTAAGCACGAAGACCATGGACCGGGCTAGGATCGCAGACGCTTTCAGATCTGGAACCACTTGTTTGCATGCTATGTACGTTGCATGTCAAAGTATGTTTAAGTGAAGCTCTTGATTCTCGACATAGCATGCATCTAGGTCCCCACACTTGTAAAAACGAGGTTTCTATTTCTCTAACCCTGCCGCGAGGAATTGTGTGCTCTTCGCCAAAAAGCAATGTTGGCATCCTTGGGGGCTCAAGCAGCGTTCCTCTGAAATGTGCTGGGGAACGGAAGATGTCCGGCGCAGCCAGATCGGAGCAGAAGAGGGACGGGATGCGGATGCCCGCCGCTCCTGCTCCTCTCAAGGATGAGCGGGTCGGTCCATTGTCACGATGGAAAGACTCGCACTGGCACAACTTACCTGCCCCATTCTTTAACCGATGCCGTTCTCTGTGCTCTGAAAGCCCATCTTCATAAGGTCAGTGGCTGCCCTATGTCCTAGAGAAAAGCGACCACGGGTGCGCCTTGGGAATTCCTAACAGTCGCTGCAACCCTCTGAGCTGCCTTTCCTGCCTAGCACTCCTGAGGGCCTCCCAGCCTTCCCTAAGAGGTCTGAACCATCTAAACACCAGTGTTTTGGTGGGGCGGCATTCCCATCAGCTTGCTGCAAAGCTTCGTTGGTTTGGGAAGACATCCACTTCAGTTTTGTTAAAAAGTGGACATTAGCTCTGACGTTCAGGATCCGGTTTCTCCATCACACATGAACCAGGGCTTCTACTCAAGACACACAGATTCTTAAACACGTAGACTACAAATCAACTGTTAGCCTACATTTAAAACATTCTTAAGACTGCCCCAGGGATGGACAACAGAAAAGTGAGTGAAGGGAAACGTCAGTGTAAGATATGACAAAATAATAGTAATTTATAAATTATCAAGGGTTCATGAGGGAGGGAGGAGCGGGGAGGGAAGGGGAAAATGAGCTGGTATCAAGGGCTCAAGTAGAAAGTAAATGTTTTGAGGATGAGGATGGCAACAAATGTACAAATATACAAATATACTTGACACAATGGATGTACGTATGGATTGTGGTAAGAATTGTA